CTCACACTCCCAATTTTGGTTGTGGTCTATTTGATCTAATATTTGTGTTAATAGATTCTGGGTACTAATTCTGGAGTAGGACGTTGTTTCAATAGAATAGGAAACAGAAAAGAAACAGCACAAAAAAGAATAAAGATTAACTTGCTTGCATGTGTGTCTTGCTATTTCAGTAGAAAACTACAACTGGTAGAACGCCAGAGCTCAGAAGGTCACCTAAATGTATGCTAGCTAGGCCAATGCTGTGAAGTAAATATTTAGTAAGTGTGTCAATCAATAGTAATCTTTTGTACCATATTTTTCTTTCATGAGATACCATGGCTGGCTAGAGTTCGACTGATTTTATGCCTGAAAAAGAGTAATTGGGATACTTATGAATCTTGGCGGGGGAAAGGGCAGCGGATGAGAATTTGGTACTGAATTGTAACATAATCTCACTTTGAAAGACTGCATTTTTATTTGGGTATTCCCCAAATGCAAATGAAGCTAGTTTTCAGACCCCTAGTTCTCAACTCCTGAAGAGGGATGGGGTGAGGTAGGGTTGAAGGTCAGGGAGAAACGCACGAGGGAAAAAATATTGAATTTGAGGAAGCTCAATAAATTCCACTGCTTTCGGCCCACACAGCTTTTCCACCAATTGATACATGAGGCCAAAAATTAACTTCCTCCTGATAAAGGTGACGTGAGAGAATGTGACTTAGCTCCTGATAGCATTAGGTTCTTACCATCCACCCTGCCCCTGATGACGCATGGCGTCCAGCTGGCAGACCACACATCTCGGAGGATCCCAGCTCTCTATTGGCAGGCTGGCTTCCAGGAAAAAGCACAGAAAGCCTCCAAGTGCTGTTTCTTCGTCTAAAGGTACAGCTTCGGTTAAGTTCCTTCTCCTCTACTGGAATTCCCTTCACGTGAAAGGAAATATTAGAAGACTGGAAAATTGCTCCCCACCCCCAATAACTACACTGTTGTTAGTGATTTTGCCCTTGTTGTAGAAACGTCTACCTTAACACCAAAGTTCACTCAGGGACCTAACCCCATGAAGATCACATCATATCAGAAAAGGAAAAAAAAAAAAAGGCCAGCGGGTAACAGGTGAAAAGACAGAGAAAGAAGGTGGCTAAGACAAAGACAGATAAAGTGCTACAGTTGGATTCAGAGACATCTGTTTTTCTTTTGTATTTCTAATGATTAGCATGACCTCTGGTCATTATGAACTCATGATTCTAAGGAAGAAAATGAACGTTGAAAAGAAAAATGAAGAAGAAAATAAATTTTTATGACACCTTGATTATATTCCTTGAAATGTATTCCTCTGGAGAAGCTGGGATGCTATTCTGGCAATACTTGCTTTCTTTGAGAACATTGCAAGAATAAATCCTATTAAATGTAATCAAAATGTGAGGAGATTTCTTCTTGCCAAAATGATTGAGGTGTGACGTGTTCTGATAACCAGCTGTTGGGAACAGACTCAGTTTTCCTAAAACGGTGGTCCACAAACACCAGGAATTCTTTTCAGCATTCTTCAAGTATTTAAAAGTCTACCAATATACACATTCCAATATTTTATTTAGAAAATGGATTGATGTAGCGGTCATTCATTATACAAACTCTCATAGTCATAGCCTTGATCTTTTTTTTTTAATTAATTAATTTTATTTTTGGCTGCGTTGGGTCTTCGTTGCTGCACGCAGGCTTTCTCTAGCTGCCATGAACGGGGGCCACTCTTCGCTGCGGTGCGCGGGCTTCTCATTGCGGTAGTTTCTCTTATTGCGGAGCACAGGATTTAGGTGCATGGGCTTCAGTAGATGTGGCTTATGGGTTCTACAGCACAGGCTCAGTAGCTGTGGCTCACGGGCCCAGTTGCTCCACGGCATGCGGGATCTTCCCGGACCAGTGCTCGAACCCGTGTCCCCTGCATTGGCAGGCGGATTCTTAACCACTGCGCCACCAGGGAAGCCTAGCCTTGATCTTCATGCAGTTCAATACAAGAAAACTACAGACTTTTTGGTTGTTCCTATATTTTTAATAAAAGGGAAGTTAAAAAATGGACTTATGCCATTATCTTGAACACATTTTAGAAAGTCTGGAGAATACAGTGTTAATATTGAAACCATAAATAGAACCAATGAAGCATAATAGCCCATACGCTTTGGTTTCTTAATTGGAGATGGATTAACTTACCACTTAAAATGACATTTCCTAGTTTTAGGTTTTTGTTTAAAGTTAGATTTACATGGAAATATATTATTCAACACAAATTGTGAATAAGAAGAATTCTAGTAATTATAAAAAAAATCAATAACAAATTCCATTGGAAATCAAACTAATAATTTCTAGAGGATGAGTAACAGATTGAAATTGGAGTTTGGTTTAGGGGATATGTTGAAGAGGAATAAAACAGAACTGACGTGTAAAGGTGATTTTATGGCTCATCTTTATGGCGTGACCCTTGGTTCACTGCTATTGATCAGGTGAAATTAAACTCAGAGCAAGGGATTTGCTCCTCCACAGTAACAGACACAATAAGAACGGACACAATGCATCTATTTTCATTAATGAAAATAGATGAAATTACTTAATACTATTTCTTTCATCTTATTTTACTGGGAGCAAGCTCTACATGAGACAGCCAAATGATGGCTTTACAAAGTTTCAGAAAACTGCTATTGCTTACAGCCTGGAAATTCCTAGCAAACCTAATACTATCAAAGGATGTAACTCTGAACACATAATTGCACAGCTCTCTTTTCAAGACTTTGTAATGCATTTCCTAAATGGATATCATTTGGCAATAGCTCTACATTTTTGACAAACCAAAAGGGGTTACAATTATAGGTTTGTTCCTAAGAATTCCACACAAAAACTGAAAATTCAGAATCCAACTTAAGGCAGTAGAATAATTTCAACCATCATTTTTTCCCCATTTTTCAAACCAAATACATTGTGTGGCTCAAAACTGTATAATAGTGGTGTTTTAAAGCTTACTCAAATCGCCACAAAAACCTTTGAATAGATACATAGTTCCAAATAGCCTTTACAAACTATGACAGAAATGGAGTTCATTTTTTTTATTGGTAATGAATACTTGGTACGGAGTTGGTTAAAAAAGTTGTAGAGACCACCCTACTTAAATAAGTCATCCATCCTGCTTTTTTCTATCTGTTCCTTTCCATTATTACATTTATCACACATTGTAATTATACGTATATTTGTTTGCATATATGCTGATTTTCTGTCTTCACCACTAGATTGTAACTTATGTGCTCCATGAGACCAGATACCAAGACTATTTAATCACCAGTATGTGCTCAACACCTATGCCTGTCACTGTGTTAGGTGCTGAATAAGTATTTGTTAAGTAGATTAACTACAAGCATTCATAAGTATTTAATTGTGATAGACTTAAATTGGATTATATAAACTTGCTCTCTAGATATGACAGATATAGCTAATTGAATATATATATACCATATAAATTATATATATATAATATGTAAAATAATATATATTATTGTAATTATATATAATACGTAATTGTATAATATATGTAATTATATGTAATATATGTAATGTATATATATAATTTATATATTATATATAAATACCTATATATAATATATAATATTATATATAAAATAATATGTAATAATAATAATATATTAATATATATAACATATATAATATGTAATTTCTACTTGTCCTTATACATAGCATAGACATTCTATGATTCATATATATATGAACATGTACAGATGATTTGATAAATAATACCTTGGTCTATTTATTTTTTAGTAATAAATAGGTCTTGAAAATATTTTTAAAATCTAGAAATTTGCCAATAACATTACTTTACATAACATATTCCTCCAAAGGAACAAGTCTATTACATTTGAGGGTGACATGGTACTTGGAAGAAGAGTTTAAATACGGGACAAATAATCTGTGTTCATTCTGTGAAATGAATTATTCAAGAAAAAAAGATAAGATTTTATCAGAAAATGCATTTGGTTCTGCATTAAACATTAAAAAATAGAAACAAGTATCAAATCTGGGAGGTTTGGCTAAATACCAGCATGGAGGTGGCATGTAGTGAAGAAGAGACTTAAAAGTTTTAGCTGATTCTAAGTTCTATGTGAATATATTATTGTAATAATTGCAAAAATAAATAAGTAAATAATGAAATTTTAAGTTGTACTATAAAAACATAGCGTCCAGAACAAATTATATGATAAACTAGCTGTCCAGCCACACCTAGGGTATCCTGTTCAGTTCAGAGGACTGCATTCGAAGAGACATGGGTAAACATGCATTTCTCCACAGGCAAATGCAGTGAAGATCCAGGGAACTTGAAAATGTCCCCGGGGAAGGAATGATTGCTGTATTCAAGGATGTGGTCATGAGCATTGTCTTCATTATATAAAGGGCTTATCCTACAGGTCTAGAATTGGGATTGATAATGGGGCACCCGAGAGCAGATCCAGAACCCTCTGTGGAAATTAGAAAGTGGAAGAATTTGGTTCAACCGAAGGAAGAACTTTCTGGCAAAATAATTAAAGTATTGGAATGTGGTACTTTTTAATATGAGCTTCATGAATCCTGAGATCTTCAAAGAGAGGGGTAGAAGTCAGTGAAGAAATTCATTTAATTACCTAGGAGACTCTTTCAACTATAATGTTCTAAAATTGACTAAACAGGTAACATAATGAATCCTTTAAGCTGTAAGTGGTTTCTATTAAAAACCATGGGCTTTCTCCCTTAACCTCTGCTCAATTCATCTTATTATTTTAGTAATTTTCTCCCCACCCACTAGAGTGCGTTAGTTTATCTTTCCTTTTATTGAGTTTAGTGAAAGCATGAGTGATAATCTCAATGATAGGTAATTAAACAAGAGGAGAATCATGACTTTTAATGAAAAGGGTAACATGTTGACCCAAGGGATGCTGTGGACTCTCTCTGTTACTTACCAGGAATTCCCAGCCTCCAACCTCTGCCTCTCTTTACAGGAGTCATACAAGCTGCAAGCTGATGGCCTGAGTGAAGTGGGATGATGGAATGAACACCTGGTGATGAAGCTTGTCAGACACCTATGATCTATTCTTCCAGTGACTATGGGGGGCTGTGGAGATCACTTATCTTTACTACGCAAGGGAATGGCTTTCACTCCCAGTGGCCCCTGGCCACGGAGTCAAGTAAAAGTGCACCTTTAGTAGCTAGCAGCAAGATGGTGTGTCAGGGCTTAGTGAGTACTGCTGGAGACATCTGTGGGCCAGACTTCAGGCAGTAGGAGAGTGTGAAATTTGATGCTGCTTGTGCGTGCAACCTTGGTTAGCTTCATAAAGAGACATGAGAGGAAACAGAGAATGAAGATTTTTTGTTTACCTTTTTCAGTGTCTCTCAAAATGTAATTCATGGAAGAATCACCCAAAGAAATTGACTTATCAAAAACTGCAGATTCCTTAGCACCACCGCCAGCAATTTCAATTCGGTGAAATTGAAGGCTCTGGCTTAGGGAATCTACCTTTTTATAAGCACCCCAGGCGAAGCCAAGGCACATAGTCCACAGACCTCACATTGCAAACTACTGGTTTAGGCAAAAGTGACAACCTTGTTCTTTATATGTTTCAGGTGTATCTCTTGGAACTGAGAAGCAGTCAATAGGGCAAGGGGCTACAGCAAATGTCAATGTGTATGAGTTTGTGTGTGTGTGTGTGTGTGTGTGCGCGCATGTGCACACATTGCAGGGGACATGAACATTTAAGCATTTGAAATACGCTTTGTGGACTACTACGGGTAAAAGAAATTATTAGACACTGAGAAATCGTCAGGGGAAAACAGAAAAAGAAGGTAGCATAGTGTTGAATTCTGAACTTCAGTAAAAAATAACAGTAGGATATAGTTACAGAGTTTGCTTAGGGGTTGAGTGTCAAACTTCTATGCAATAACTCACAGCAGGACGGACTGAATGATTTGCTTAGTTGTTAATAGCATCTATAAGCTGGAATGGCAGACCATTATCCTTGCCATTGCACTGCCAGCCTTACCACGACAAGGGGATGCATTGCTATTCAAGCCACTTACCGCTCTAAACGCTACGAGCGAGCTTAGCAAGTAGAAGATATTGAGAAGGAAGTGATCACATAACATTTGACAAAGCCTTTCTGCACTGATTGCATCTACAGATTTTGATGAGGTGTTTACTCACCTCCTCTCAACCTTTCCTGGAATAGCTACATTTAATAGTGCAAGATCACAAAGGTGAGTTGCCTCCTTTCTTTTTTTTTTTTTTTCATTTGCATGTAAGTGAGAAGGCTGTCGATGGAATCATGGTCAGTAACCACTATTTGCTTCATGTTGCTATGCTTCTGGCTTTCAAGTCTGAGAAGAAAATCACACGAGAACTTCAGCCTGAATCATGTCACTCCAGGTAATCTGGATACTAAGAACCAAACAAAATGGACTGAATAAAAGCAGCCTGAAGTCCATCGGGTTTATTTTGCCTCTGCCTGCTCTCAGAGAGACGTGAATTTGCAGTGATCAACTGCAGTTTCATATTAACGGAACAGATTGGAGACAGAAATCATCCCCAGGCCTTAATCCCAGGGAAATCAGAAAAACAACTTCTTCTAAAGCTATTTACAGGGTAGCAGATGTGAAGGTATGTCTTGGATTGGACACAGCATAACAAACAACTTTTTGAAATAAGGTATTTCATTAAACAACTCAACATGAGCATGGGAAGTTTTGTGAACTCTTTCTAAAGTGAGATACTGAGAATAATGAGCATGTTCACCATTGCCTCATTCATTCATTTCTTCTTTTCCCTTATTGCATAGGATTCCTATAGTATCAACTGCACTGGAGGAGTTCTCAGGCTGCTTAGAGGAGAGCCATGCACAGTGCCCTGCAGTGGGCATGCTGGTAGCTGTAGTCACAGGGAGACTCCTCGCCAGCTGCAGTCCCTACTTTTCCATAAGAGCGCACACTGCCCACTCCTTGGGAAAGACCTGCTGAAATACTCCTAACTATGTACTGTTTCATAAATGGGAATCATTTTGCAAATTATTTGAATCTTAACTTTCTTTATTTTGCTTATCCGATTATTCCTTGGTTTCTTTCCTTCTGTCTGTAATATTCCTTCCTTTGGAATATATAATTGCTATTTATCTCTTTGTTTCCACTCCATATGTCATCGTTTCTCATCTTTTATGAGAAAATAGTTAGCTTCTTTGAAAAAGCTCCTCTATTTTGTCCTAAAATAATAATGTTATAAAACATGAAAGACATGTTACTATCACTACTAGAGCTTTGATTGGTTTTGTAAAAGAGATAGAAATGAGACCACTGGGAGGATCGAAAGAACCTTAACAGGTGAGGAGGTACTTGAGCTTTGAAAAAGGAGGTGGCATCCCAAAAGTCAGAGATGGACCCCGAATGGCTTTGCAAGGCAACCTCTTAGCAATAATGAAACAACAAATGAAGAAACTGGTTTAACAAAGGCCAGGCAAACAAGTGTTTTCATTTACAAATTCCTAGGATTAGACCCATCCAATGGAGAATTAAATGTTGATCTGGTAGCTTATCATTTACACTGTTCTTACTTTATTCCCCAATTTCTCTAAAAAAGAGAAAAAATAATTTTATTGTCCATCCCTTCTCTTCTATTTCCATTCTACCTTAAAACTTATCTCCCATTTTGTGAGAATGTGTGAGAACTAGATAGAGGTAGTACAAAATTATTAATATATTATGACCAAGTACAAAGTGTACAAGACCTCAGACAAATGAACTTGGTGATTTTATTGAGCTAAAGGAAGCAGCAGTCATGCCATTTTGTCCCAGTGAAACAGCAGCATAGGAAGGTATTTATCACCCCTTGCTCCTGTAAAGGAATTGGTCCCACTGATATCCTTGGCTTGATGGTCATGTTTCTTCCCCAAGGAAATGCTGATTTCCATTCACCTCTTCTCTGCTTCCACTTTTTCTAGCTCAATTTAGAATGAACAGAATTTGCATTATGGACTAAAAAGTATTCTTTGTCAATAAAGACTTTGGATTCTTGTCAGGACTTTCCCAGGATTAGAATGACATTTGTCTACATTCAAAGATGCCTTAGAAGAAACTCAGCAGGCAACCAACCACCTTTGATAGGTAATACAAACATTGCTTTTTCTGTGTCTAAGATAACTTTTAGATATTTTCTCTGGTCAATTGTCTAAAATTATTCGAGATTGAAGAGAACTTACAGAATAATTTATTCAAGATATTCAAGCTTAAAAAATATGAATACTTAAGTCACATGAAATTTTCCATGGAATTTTAATATATAAAACAAAAAGAGCAATATTATTACTTTCACTTTTTTTTACTAGTTCAATTTTTGTGAAGTCAGTAAAAACAAAGAGCCAGTTTTGATAAAATGAATATTTGAAATCAAACAATTCATTTTCACATGGCTCATAAAAGTATTTGTTGGAACATATATTTAAAGCCAAATTCCAAAAATCTCAGGATATTCTCCCATTAAATAGAAATGCCAGGATGTGTTTTCTTTGGGGGTCAATATATATAAAACAAGGTAATGTAACAGCACTAATCAATGGGTTGATGGGCTCCAGCATATTATAATTAGAAAGAAATACATACTTAGGCATCCATGTTGCTTTATTATTCTTTTCAACCATTATATATGCAGGGGTGTGTGTGTGTGTTTTTGCATGAAGCGCCTACATGAAATCCTAGAGTTATGTAGAATTTCATTGGAAAAGCATCATTCTTGTCCTCCAGATCCAAAAAAAAAGAAAGTAAAAAGAAAAATAAGCTAAGGTTATTTCTAGGTTATGTCACAATCTACCGACAAAGAAGTAATTAGAATGTACATTGCCTGACTCCCATTGTTTTGTTCTCCCAACTATTCCCCAATGCCTCTCATCTTACTATTGTTGTTATTATTGATATTGTTGCTATTATTGATATTGTTGCTGTTAATATTGTTATTATGATAAAGATGAAACGTCCAAGAGATAATATGATCATTAAACACTAGCACTGCAAGAAGCTTTGGAGATAAATGCTAACATCATCATTTCCTGAGGTTGTAAGGTGAAGTGAGTGACCTGCCTGAAATCACATCAGTTGTTAGTAGAGGGACCTGAGATTTCTGACTCTTTCCAGTGTTTCTCTTTGTCTTGCTGCTTCTCAGTTCAACAAGAGTGTTTTTGGGAAATAGATAAAAGAAGAAAACTTGTACCACTGGAAGCAATTGCAGTATTTTTTGGTGGTCAGTATTCTTTCATTCCATTGAGATACAATATAGTCTGTGGATCTGGTTAAGCTTTAAATGCAACGATGAGAAGTTTTGATTTAAAATCTTTCAAAAAATCCTTATTACTTTATTTTGAGAATTAGAAAAGAATGCGACCGTTGCAAAACATGTATTCTCCAAATTGGACCTAATTCTTATCATAACTTTATAGCCCAGTTTACTATACACCTGTTGCTTAGAGGACTAGACATTATGTTAAATGTTAGACAAACAAGAGTTCCCTGATTGCCTAGTGGTAAGGATTCCAGGCTTTCACTGCCATGGCCCAGGTTCAACCCCTGGTCAGGGAACTGAGATCCCTCAAGCTGCACAGTGTGGCCAAAAAAAAATGTTGGATGGATGAATTATTGCTTTATAGACACAGATGAATCAACATTATATCTATTTATTTTCTGTGTTCCTTAAGATATCGTTCCTCTTAATAGGAAAAATGCACACCATATGTAAAGCATTTTCCATTGTACTTGAAGATGTTTGTTTTGTGACTCACCCAAAACTTTAACTTTCTTTGAATTTACCCCGAAAACACCACAGCACCTAGTAAGTATCCTTCAGCACTACTGAATTTGCAGTCAAAGTGGAAATACGATGCCTTCTCTGGGTTTGAATACCAAAAGGAAAATTCATAAAGTAAAAATAACATGGCAATTTGGCTTCTTTAATGAATGTAAGCGATGTATACTGAGTTTATAATTAAAATACTTTCTGTCATTTTGGGGACCCTAAATACTGAATGATGTCTGTGCTATATTTATATTCACTCTCCTCCCCATTAATAATAGTGTTTCCAGTTGGGAATGAGTGTGGCCATAACTTTTGCTTGGTTTCATTTGGGATTCCAGGATCTAAGGCTTTTCTCCCTGGCTCTCTGTGTGTCCCATATTACAATTGCATTACTGTTCTGTCTGCTTTGGGAAAATATTTTTACCAACAGTCTTATTCATATATATGTATATTTAATTTTTAGAAAAAGATGTGAACTATGAAAAAGTATCAGAAAGAAAGACTGTAATGTTTTGGAGGCATTTACAAATTTTAAAGAATACATGTAGGGTTTTTTTGTGTGACAAAAAGTTATAAAAGGACTCCATTGTTTTCAGCTACTTCATTGATTTGTCACTTTTAAACTAAGCCTCCTCTGGGCCCAGCATTCCATGAAACATCTCTAGTAGACTTTGAAAGACATAACCAACAGAATTTTTTCTACTCTGTTCACTTCTAAGTCTGTTATCTCTATAGGTTAGTGTTCTGATGCATGAGAAATGACCCCCCAAATTTCCATGACCACATAGCATTTAGCCTTCTGTACAAATAAAACATGAGCCTGAACACAATGTCCTAGGGAAGGTCTGAAGTCTCAAAAGGAAGTGAAATGGCTTCCTTTTTCTTAATGTCTTTTCCTGTAAGTCAAGGATGAGACTGCATATCCCATGCAGAAAAAATGAAAGTCCAAAACTGTATTTAGGAAAAGATATATATATAAAATAAAAAATGTATATACACATATATATTAGAACTTTCCTCTTCTCTTCTTTTATAACTCTTACTGGTGAATTCTTACTTAAAACTGGTGTATCAGTTATGCTGCATTCCATTTCACCCAATGGATTGTGTTTTTTGTTTCTTTATTAAATAGACAGTTCAGTTAAGCTCATTGGGATCTTTATTCAAAATCAGGTTTTTTTTCTCTACTGGGATTAAATAAAAATTTAAGATATCTTTGATTATATTTTTTCATAGAGAAGAGAATAAAAAAATTGGCATCTGCCATCAGATGATGGATTTTGTGACCACTCCCTATTTGCGTTACTTATTTCTATAGTCTTTATACCTACTGTTCTGAGGGTTGTCATCAGGTAAAGGATGGTGCCTTGCTTATAAATGTGTTGAAAAAAGAATGAATGGATAAAGATGTTTATTTCTTCCCCACATGTGGTTACACAAAAATTTAGAGAAAAAATCTTTTTTTTCCCACTTTTTTCTATAAAATATGTAACTCTTTATCCAAAAAAAAAGCATTGATTGATTGCATTCCTTGCCTCACTGTAGGTAGAACATAGGCAAAGAGAGGTTACTAGAAGCAAGGATAACACCTAAGTACAATGGTCATTACTTCCATTTTAAACTTCAAGTGATATCAATCTTTGTTAATTAATCTTTAACACTCACCTGTGTTGTTTCCAGGAGCTGCTGTAATTCACCTGACCATTGAGAACCTGGAAATCCTGCAATCCACAGCCAAACATCTTGAGCACAACTTCTTGTTTCAGAGGCAAGAAAATGGTTTCATGCCTACCATAGCCTCACTGGATGCACAAACTGGGGATCCTTGGTGACACACTTTTATAATTTTCCTAATTGTATTTGAAGCAGTTTCAATAGTGACATATAATCACAACTTTCCTACTTGTTGGGACATCATAGGCAAGTTTTTCTTTACACTGTAAAACATAGAGTAAAATAGCTAAAGCATTATTTCTGGACAAAGAAGGGATTCAGGAACTTGGTGTACATTGCATGATTCTACCTTTGTTGCAATCTGTATAATTATATTTTCTGTGAAGGGACATGCCTTGCTTAAGAATAATGGTCATAGATTATTAATCCCATATGTTTCCTGTGGAAAGAAAGGAATGTCCCATGTCAAAGCTCAATAGTCTCTGCTCCAATAAGGGCCCTCTTAAGATATCCCATAATAGCAGGAACATCCTTGCCTTGGGGACTTAATGCCCACTAGTCTTGATGTCCCTGAATAAGACCTCATCAAAGTCTGCACTGACACTTTATTTCATTGCCTAATGCTTCCTGTTAAGAAGAAGGCCTTATTAGTCTGACATCTGTTGAGAAAAGTTAGTATTCGCATTAAGGTTCAGGACAAAAAGCAGAGCTTGGAAGTTAGCCAGGTTCATATCCTAGTTCTGCCACCTACTAGACACATACCTGGGTGAGTCACTAAACCCTTCCAAGGCTTCATTTCCTAGTCTTGCAAATGAGGATAGTGCCTGTCTGTGGTACAGTAAAGGTGAATTATGACCCAGCGTTTTGCAAGTGTCAATTTGCATAAGAATCACTTGGTAGATTTTAACAAGCTCACAGTTGATCCCTAACATAGCTGGTTTGTGGATCACACTCTGAGTGGTAGAAGATTGTAAGTGGTGCCTGAATATACAAATAGATAATAGCCAACCATATATAAAAATAGAACTTAGACCCATAACTTCCAGCAACCTCCCCAGGAAGCCAACCCCTTATCTTTAATAAGTAGCCCAGGAAGCCAGCCAACAATAAGTCAGACCTGCAGGAAGTCAGACTGCTATCTGTTGTAATAATTCAGGAAGCCAAGCAATAACTTCTGTAGCAATCAGACCAAAATCGGGACTTGACTGGTAACCGACAGCTTCCCTAATTTTTGTCTAGCCTTCCAAGTTAGGACCTACTAGACAAAGCCAAATATGCATCCCTAACCAATCATACAGGGCGTTCCGTTTCTAGTTAGCCTGCCTCCTGCATCCCCATGCCAAGAGCCTCCAATCAGGGCACACCCGAAGCCTTCCCTGTTTTCCACTAAAAACTATTCCACTCCTCTGCCTGCGTTTGAGTCTCTGCCAAAATGCAAGTGGCGGTGGCTGACTCCCTTGCTATAGCAAACTCTGCGTAGAAAGCCCTTGCTTGTTATTCTTTGGTTGGCCTTTGTTTGTTTCTACGTAAGTGGCTTATGAAAAGTGCCTATTATTTAGTGAGGGCTTAGTGAATGGCAGCCTCAGACCTCTAGAAGACAGAAGAGCTAGACGCTTCTCTCCTCACCTTGGAGGAGGTCTTCATCTTCCAGCTTTCTACCTCCAGTCCCCCAGAGAGGTGGTTTACTGCCCTCATTAAAGTTCACACACACGCTGCTTAGTTCATCTTTCCTTGGTAATATCTTCTCTTAAATTAGAAGGAGCTTGTCTGTCTTTTTTCTTTTTCTTTTTCTTTTTTTTTCTTTATCCTCTCCTTTCATTTAGTCACAAAGAAGCCCAGACAATCACCAATTAACTTCTTTCCCCTTCCTCTAAGGACTGTGGTTATTGGTGGATGACATCTTCCATCCAGGGAAAGGCCAGGTCATTTCTCATTTGTAAGCCCATCACTCTCATCCCTTATACTGTTCTGTCCCATACGTCCTCAAAAAAACTCGTGACGTTTTGCTTTAATCTACTACCACTTTCCCTGTATGTATGTCTCCCTTGGGGAACTCACTTGGAGGAGAGGTTGCTGGGCCAAGGGAGGATTTGGACCCTCTTGGCTTTCCCAGCCTAGAGTCCCCCCAACAGCCTTCCAATCTCACTCCCTTTTCCCCACCGATCATTACTGTGTATAAACATGATTACCCTAGAGGTATCTTCACGGAAGGAATAGAGAGAGCATCCTCCAAGGAGGAAGAGAAGGAAAAGAGTGACTCAGATTTCTAACAGTCCAAGTCCAAATGCAAATTCCATGACCCGAATTGACATTTGAAAATCTATTTGACGCAGCAAAAAGAACAATATACAAATGGCTGTGCGACAGGAGTGTTTCAAACATAGATATAACTGGAAATCATTGCCAAGTATTGGGATTATTAGAAGTGTGTTTACTTTTAAACCCTTTCACAAAAAAGGAGAAAATATATTTTAGAATGTGTGTCTTTATCAAGCATTTTCCCCACATCTTTGAATAATTTAAGGCTTCTGTCTCGATAGCAGCTTTTTAGTATATTTTGATATAGTCAAAAATACATGATAGCTCAGTGCATTTGTTTTGTGAATGCTTTGCAAGTCACCCCACTTTCTTGCAGGTTGCCCTATGAGATAGAAAAGGATCTGAGATATTCCCAAGGAGTATCTCCCCGTTTTCTTAATAGTACAATGAAATTAAAAGGTTCTACTAAAAGCTGTGGTTGAGAAGAGGATTGGCATTGCTGTAGAACTTTTTCAAAATACTGTTCCTCAGGCTTCTCTGCAGCAGATCCTGATTCAGTAGCTCTGGAGCGGGTCCTTTAAATCCATATTTCTAAACGTTTTCTAAGTGATTTTGGTGCCTGTCAGGTTTGGCTTAGGAGCTGCAATTAGACGGATGCCAGTTGGTGTGATTAAAATACTTCTGGGTTGGAAAATCCTGCGGTCTTTTGTAAAGCAAAGCAATTTAATTCAATTGCACAATACTTATTGGATACCCACTCTGTGTCAGACACTTCGGTGTTTGCTGCAGATACCAAGGTGAACACACCTTGTTCTTGTCCTCAATTGGCACAGAGACTAGGGAGAGAAGAATTGGGAGTGAGAGAGAGAAACAGAGAGAGGGAGTGAGAGGGAGGGAAGGAGAGCGAGAGAAAAAGAGGAAGGAAGAGGGAGGGGAAAAAGGAAGAGAGAAAAAGAATGAATCCAACACCCTGCAGAGTGTGGCAAGAAAGATGCCGATACATCCTACTGGATTTAACAGAGGAACAAGGAGGAAAGAAAAGCCTACAGAAGAGAAAATAATTTTGGATCTGCCTTGCGAGGGTCACAAGAAATATGGTAGCGTGATTCCCAGCCACTGTGTTGAGCAATGTGGGGACCATGGAGTGCTCCCATGTAAAGTGTCCACAGCGCTCCTGTAAGAAATCCTGTATGAGTTGATGAAATGGAAGGGGAGTTAAGATCTTTGGCAATCACAGGGTCAAGGGAACGTGAGACAAGAATGTTGGCTTGGATCCCTACTGTGGTACCCTTTTTAACAAGAACAATTAATGGAAAACACAAGTTGTATGGAGGGTTTTAGATGACAGATTTTTACTGGTCTGATAATTGAATACATATCACTGTTTCAATTTGGGAGTTTAAAATGGATACTAGTGGCAGTGAAAACACTAAAATTTAATCAGTTTGTATTTATTAGGGAGCAGTGTAGAATGATACCTTGCCTTTAGGTCCTCAAAAACTAAGCATTAACCAGTTGCTTTATTGCTCTAGCATTTACTATTTCATGAACAAGAATAAGCCCTCTTGGGAATGTCCTTAAAACTTATTGATTTTTCATTTTTTTCCCAAATCAATGGCGTTTCTGAAATATGCTTTCTCTGCCCAGCTATGTATGATACTGTTGTTCGTCTTTTGATGGTCAACCCTATTTCCAGTATCCTTGAGCAAAGCAGTTAACTGGTAGTTTTCCTACTAAACTGGAAATCACAATGGTAGGGTCAGAACCTTTGCAGCCATCTACATGGTGAGTATGTATATTCCATTAGAAACAAACCTCAGAGAACACAGGAAAGCATTACCTAAATATTTACTAAGAATAAATTCATAGAACAGAGAGCAAGTCCTTTGAAAACTGTACCTGGCCAGGTTCTTGAATATCACTTCTTACGTTCTTCTTGAAAAGATCACTTTAATTTCTGTTCCTCTATATTCAAGAAATCCTGTCACTTATGGTTGCCTTGATATGCTCACATGAATGAAACTCTGAAAGTCTTATTTTTATTTAAAGTTTCAAATAAACTGTCCTAAATAGAACTAAATAAGTGATATTAAATATTTTGCAGCTACTGCCATTTTCCTATATTACATTACTATTATGCCTACTGCAGAAGGAAAATTTCCCTGTGATACTACATGAAAGGCAAGCCCATTTTCTACTAAAGAAACTGTAAGAACATTTCCAAGACATTCAGTTACAGTCAAAGGCCGCAGGTGGAATTAGGAGCTCTGGTCTCCTGATTTTGAGCTAGCGACCCACACTTCCAAGAAATGGGCCTTTTCCTCAACATTCCACTTAGATTCTCTACCAGGATGCAGTCTAATACCAAATATTTGTGTGTCACAAACAGCCCCAGCTACATATTACTTTGAGTCTTGCCTAAGTCTGTTAGGATGTCTTGAGCACTGTTTTTGATGGTGGGCATGACCCTTGACCCTTTGGTCTCAGTTGATACGAGGCTATGTATGGGGACTAACTAAAATGATATTATGAATAAAATAAATTTGTTTGGAAATATTCACCATCTAAATCCTGACCCAGGATCCAACTTTTAAAACCAAACCTCTTTTAATTATTTCACACCTATGATAAACTTTGGAATATACCATTGTCTTCCTTTACCGTGCCAACCACTTAATGTATAGAAATTCTTTATTCATTCCAAGGGTGAGGCAAAGGACATGCATTGAATCCTGGTCTGGCCAATTAGATTTGTACAAACAGAAACATCAGTGGCTGGGAGGGGACGTTAGAGACCAGCTATCCATCCTTCACGTCATAGCTGAGGAAAGAAAGAGCCAGAGAGGCCAGCTGGTCTGATTCGTCCAAATTTGAATCGAGGTCATGTGATGGAAACAGGTGTAGAACTTGGAGACTCTGACGTCTCATTGTTCTTTCCCCTAAGTTACAAGTAATTCTGCTCCAATGTGACAGACACCACCTCCAAATCTGACCTTTGGATGGCTAGTGGCTAGCAGGAAGTAAGTTGAGACCGTGCATGGTCACGGAGAGGTCATTTTC